AGAGGGCCTGCAGGCGCCAGTGTACGGCAGCCCTGCTTATGTCAGTGATCCCCAGGGCAGCTGTAGCTACAATGTAGCTTGCCACTGTGAGTGTGTGCGTGCGTGAATGAATGTAGTGTAAAGCGCTTTGGTCAAGTCTCCTGACTTTTAATAAAGGTGCTATATAAGTACATGCCATTTACCATTTACGTTGCCTGTCAACACCAAATTTGCAGGAGTAGCCTCTTCACAAAACCCCACTGACAAACATGCACATGCTGAGGGGGTCCAATATGTTTCACCATACAATGTGCATGACATGAGACTTGACTGCCAGTCAGCCAACTTCTGGGGCACCTTGGATATATCTTTGATCACAAGTCAAGTCTTAGTAGCATACTGAACTTTTACAATGATTGATATGAGTTTACCTTTGAAAGGTTGGCATCAACAAGATTAATGTCATTTTCAAGCAAACTGTGCACTCTGCCAGCACTAAAATTATGAGCCTAAATATAATTTTTATATGAGAGCACAGGGGCTATTAAATATGCTTAAATATTTTTCTTCCCGAGCCAATTTTGATTCCTTTCCATGGGAGTTTCAAGCATGCACGGTTTGAAACAGAATTCAACTGGAAAAATGCTGAATTTTTGAATAAAATATTGCGTAGGTATTCTGCAAGCAGAAAAGCACTAGAATCTCAGTGAAACAGCACTACCTGCTGGTGAAACCCCAGCAGGGTCAGTGTCAGTCCAAGCAGTGCAGTGATTTCAAACAGTTTCTTCGATCAATGATTAACAACTAAACTTAATATTAAACCTCAGTATATTTATTTAGTTCTTTGGTGAATTAAAGCAGAAGAAAACTTTGAAATCACAATAAAATATATAAAAACAAACAAACATCTTTTGCATACATTCACATTGCAAAGTAGAAAAATTAAACAAGTTGTTATAAAAAAATAAAACTGTTTTATGTGCACAACTGGGGGGAAAAAAGCACATAAACATTCACAATCAGATCGAATAAAGCAATATTTCTAACAGAAATGTTGCAGGGGTGTTACATAAACATTCACATGTAAAAATATATTGTGATGGTATTAACAAACCTATTGCTTATGCTGCCCCGCAGATCCACTGTTGTATTAAAGGTTGTTAAAGGACACAAAATTATTATATTGCAAATAGTGAGTATATTTCTATCTTTATTGCATCATGTTTTGACATTTTTAGCGTCTTGGTTTTTGCTGATCACACAAAAACATTCACACTAAATGATGAGCACATCTGGGACCAGTGACATCATCAAATATTACTTTTCAGTATGAAACACATGAGGAGATAAAAAGCAGCTTGAAAATAAATTATTTGCATCTCTTTCCACCCTAATAAGTCTAACTTTCAAGTCTGAGTGTTTCACAAAAATACATTCTCTTATGGCAGATTTTTCATGCAGCAAGTAAAGTGATGAAGTAAAGAAAATAACAAAAGAAAAACATATTACTAAACATAACTAAAACACAACCAAAACTTATAAAAAAGAGATTCTTTGGCATTTTACTATAAACAGCATAAAGGTAATGTAAACATGCTGTGCCAAAAGAGAGTGAGCTGAATAGAAATTCAGCCCACATGCTGTGGTTACCTGTGAAAAAGTTTTTAAAAATTTTTACAACCCTTTTTATTCTCTAATTTGTAAATATTACGTGTTTTTTATTAATTTGTTAACAAAAAAGGATTTGTGCTGTACTCAACCTCCACCCTATTTGCATTTTGAAATTAGAACTGATGATGTGAAGAGTTTTGAAAAAAAAAGCGAAAATACAAGAACATATATTTACTTTATACATTGCATCATTAAATAGGAAGGCAAAAATTAATTCTCTTTTATATAACAATAGCTGTATTATTGCATGTTTATGTATGTGTATATATATATATATGTATATATATATATATATATNATATATATATATATATATATATATGACCTTAACAATGAATGTTTCATATATTTAGCAAATAATGAAGAGAGCAACATCTTCTGCTTAAATGAATATCAAACAAAAGCACTCATTGCGTTTCCAGAAGCCAGCTGAAAGAGATTGTCTTCTCTGTGAGTTTCTCTTAAAATAAGGCATATTGTCCAAAATGCAACAAACTTCCAGGTTATCCTCTTGGTTTTCTCTGTGAGCTTTTTCAAGAGTTTTTTTATGCCTTTTTTTCTGGTCCTTTTTTCTTGCAACCATCAAGGGCGTTTTGGGACAGATGAAAATCATTGCTTTCTCCGTTTATGAACTGATCTGTCTCTCCTTCCCCGGTAGTGCTGATGATTATGGTGCAAGGTCTCACCCTGCCGTTTTTTGAAATTGTTGATGCTATAGAGAGCATGTGGTTGATGTCTTCTCATGAAGGACCTCTGATAGCTTGATGCTGAAAGAGAAAATAAGCCTGTTTATACAATATTTGACATAATGTTTTCTTTCTTTGCAGGAGTAATACTTGCTCTACTTACGGTATATACAGGCAATTTTAGGTGCATCCCATCGTCCATCGCCACGACAGCGGATGGTAGGAACATGCCTCTGAATGAAGCCTGTTCGACACTGGTATCTCACCAGGGAGTTGATTTCATACCTCTCACGCTTTCTACCAAATGTATGTGCATTTTCAACTACAGGGGGCTGGCGGCAGGCCACTGGGGAAAAAAGATAGCATAATTAAAATAAGGACTACAAACATGTAATCCATCAGAAGAAACATTTTTAGCAAAAAAAATAATAAAATAAAAAGAAAGTCAAAAGTAAATGATAAGAATTCAACATTGGGTTATGTTCTAAATAAAAGGTTCTAAAAGGTTCCTTAAAAACTGTTAAAATAAAGGGTTACATCGCCTTATCAGCAATGATGTAAATCAGTACTCTAAGTACTTTACAAGCAGACTCTCTCAAATAGTATGCTGTACCATAGCCACTGCAAAGGTTGACTAAATAATATAGTTAGACTCAATGCTAACAAGTTTTAGCTTTCAAGGTTTATAACTTGCAGATTCAGTAAGTTTTTTATAAGAACTAACTTATTTTTAATGGATCTAGTTTTTATTTATCAGTAGTAGCAGTAATATAGTTGTTTATTTGTATTAAGAACTACTTTAGCTGACAGATAATAAAATGACCAATTAATGGTCTCAGACAATGTGAGTATTACATACTACTTATTAAAATTGTGTGCTGAATACAGAAATATTTTGTTAAGAAAACGTCACAATCTTGGTTAAGACTGTGGACTTAACACGAGTCCAACAGATGGTCATTGACAACCTCCACATGGAGAGTAAAGCCGGTGTTCTGTCAGATGACCATACCCATAGTCAATACCCGTTTATCTCTTTAGTTTTGTATGAAAAATACACTTTAAACTACCTAACCGGGCATGTCTCCCTTTAGTCATGTACAAAGAAACTATTTAATTACTGGTGTATTGGTGTTTTTTGAAGCGTATGAAGATCTTACCTTAAATTTTTTTTTGAACATGACTAAAGTGATACACGCCCATCGAGTTTAAAGTCTATTTTTTTTACAATGTCTATATTTATGCTGGTATGACAGGGTATGCTAATCTGAAAGAACACTGTACACTGTATGATTTTTTGCCCTTTTCAGGCCGATTCTCCAGTCGTGCGAGAATTTTTTGATCTAGTCAACTTTCAGCCTGATTGTGCATCGTGTAATGTACAGGGGATAGCCAGGGCCGATCGGCCTCTCACGACCACCTCCTGATCAGGAATTGTAAGGTTGTCAGAAAATCATGTTTGAAATTCAGTTGGCCGTCATAAGGTCACATCAGAGTGAGAATATACATCATGAGCTGTGGACTTTTAAACATGTTAATTTTGTCATACAGTTTTAGCTGTAGCTGCGTGCAATGCTTAAGCTACAGAAGTTAATTGTAAAGTTAGCTGTTTATAGTGTGCTGTGTAAGGGTATATAAATTGAAACGTTGAAGGAAGATATACAGTGAAAAAACATCTACTGCATTGTGAAATAAAGCCTATTCAAGAGTATGAATGAGTTCCACAAAGTAGAAATCACTGGTGGAGTCACTGTTTCAGGAGCCACTGCACAATGTTGTGGGATCAAACTGTTGCAATCCTTGTGTTAAACCACTATTTAACTAAAGGAAAAGTCGGAAGAATCTTATTTAGGCTTAGTAGAAAAAACACAAGCTGAAGGGAACTACTTAAGCAACCTTCTCAACACTTGAATACAGGCAGAACAGCGACGTAGCACACTGTATTGACTGAATGCAACTATAAATATGACCAACTATCAGCTCTTTTGGAATTTAACCTGTACAGCTGAAAAGATACATCCATCCCAAGAAGATTAATTATAACTTTATGATTTGGTGTGAAATCATTTAGATGACAGGCTGTGTGCATCTGCTTACTGCTTTTGTAAAGAATATTGTAATATAAGAAGCTTGATTTCATTACCTGTGCCTTTTTTGCATGTGAATGTTAGGTGATAGTTGCAAGGGACATCATTCCACTGGCCATCCTCATGCCAAATCATCACAACACAGTCCTCTCCAGATGAAAAGAAGCTGTCAGGCTGGTTCGGCCTCCAGTTGTCATATTGCTGAAAATAGAGCAAAGATTCCCATGTGATGTTTATCTCTTAATTTAACCTGGCAGTATCTACAATGTGTGCTGATTAATTTGCAAACAGCCTGTATGCACTTATTGTATGCTTTGTTATGACATATGTTGTACTTTGGTGAAGAGGGAGTCCTGTACTGTTCATGAAGACATCGTACCATTAATAAAGGTGTACCCAAGGGAGAAGGTAGAGAGGAGGCCCAGGGGTGATCATGGCCACCCCTAGACAACCATTGGCTGACCCTCTATTAAGTGATTTAATGTCCTCTGGTGCATGTAATTTGCCACCTCTACAACAAGCAATTTCCTTCTGAAGTGAAAAATCCTAACTAATTTGACACTTTGTTAGTAAATCAAACATAAACTGATAACAAAAATACAGTATCTAAGTATGCACATCAATATACTTTAAAGAACTAGTTTTTGTGTTTTAAGGTGAGAAGTGAAAGTCTCCACAAGTCATCTTGGAGTTTTATATGTATTTAAAGAAAACAACCAAACCGATTTCCCTATGTATTAATATATGTATATACTAATATTAAACAGAAACATATTTGATGAAGGTGTAGTGGACGATTTTTGCAGAAACGTAAGTAAGAAATGCCTATGTCACTTTTTGAATAAGCACGCGCAAGACCGTCCTATGTGCTCTTCTGCCATCCTGTGAAAGAATCAAACACACTCTGGTCTTATGTCTTTCTTTTGAGGCCTTCCTCTTTTTCTTTTTAGTAAAACTGTTTACTTTGTGTGACTCTCTGACATTTTTAAAATAGCAGTGAAGCTCCAATAACAAAAAAGCTGGATGTTTTGCTCAATCGTTTTCTTGTTGGTATAGATTGATACTGAAAAGCTACTGTCACCTTTCCATTTTCAGCCACTTCTCTGTGCATATTGGTCCACCCTAGCCTCTAGAAAATTGTCTGGCCCCAACACTAGGTGTTCCAAATCTGAACTAATGAAAGCAAGTAGGCTTATTTAAACAAACACACAGCTTGATCTCACTATGCTTATGGATGCGCAATATTATATGCAAAAAGCTAAAGACCTAGATTTCAGACCAGAAGTAAAGCATCAGTACACTTTTATTAACGTCCACAAGAGGGGGGAGCAGGGTAAACTCAGTAATAACTACAGTAAACGTCTGAATGACAACTCAACAGAGTACTGCAAAGGAAACTAAGCATTTAAATTATCCCCAACAGACACTTATCATCAAAGTATAACACTATGTTTGGTATCTGATATTGCAGTATGCATTCTTTGTGAACACTTTTCCTCAAGAAGTTTGCATGTCTATGATTGAAAGTTTCTGCCAACAAAAAACAGTACATGTAGATTTAAGTCCATGCAGTATCCACACAGCTGTGAAGCTGTGAGCCATCCAGGCTGCAGTTGAAGTACTATAGTCTTTCAGCATGTTCTAGGTTCAAACACTTCAAAGCTGTCACTCCCCCACCACCACATCCCCCATACACACTTTCCTGCCATCATGCCTCTAGGTCTTAGTGCTCTGTCATTATGGCTTACAAACATACTCTGACTTCCTCCTCTGCTCATCTCAGCACAACAAATGGTTGAGCTATCAACTGTCTGTCAAGTCTGCATCTCAATGAAAATATCCAAGCTGTCCAACACCATCCAAACACACATTCATAGATGTGAATCTGTTTATGGTGGTAAATACAACTTCACAGTTGAAAATGTTCTTATTATTTATTTGGATTCAGTTGAATTGACCACCCACCTAAACCCCTGGGGTGTTACTAGACTGTGTTTTTCTCAAGCTAAAGCTGAGAACAGGTGCTGTCCATCTGTATGTCTCTTTGGTGGCCCTTCCCCCGTGTGACTGCCTGCTGGCTGAGCTCTCTCAGGAGGGGGGGGATAAAGAGGGACCATAAAAGTCCATGTCTACCAGACCCTCCCCACAAGCTCATTCACAACCTCATCACCTCTAAATTGGTCTTTGCTTATCTGTTAACCCCCAGGGTTTCGCTTCCCCTTCACCTCTGCTTTTAAGGAAACGTCATATCCGTCCATTCACAGACTTAGACTGTAATTAAGCTTTACTCTATCAGGTGAGAGAAATATTCAGGAACTAATAGTCAAAACATTTGACTTTGTTGTAAAAAAATTCCATACATGTTGAAAACATTTATGCCGATGAAGATTCTCAGTCATCCAGATCATAGTCATTCCGTAAAAGTAAAAAAAAAATCCACTGGACTTGGTTTCCAAGATTTGAAGACCTTTCGACGTTGGCGAAACGTCTTTAAATCTTGGAAACCAAGTCCAGTGGATTTTTTTTTTTTTACTTTTACGCAATTATGTTATTTACAAACATAAATGTCCCTGTGTTTTAATCATTTTTTTGCTTATTACAAGGTAGCAAATGTTTCCTTAAAAACCAAACTGGGATAAATGCATGTGTTCAAGCATTCAACATCTACCGTAAGTCAATACCTAGTCTGACCATATTTTATTGAAATAGATTTGTGGTAAACCAAAAGTTAGGTTTTTTGCTCTCATCTGACACCATGCTCCACAGGTTTGTTGGGTCCTGTATGTGGCCTGTGGCAGACAGGTCATAGGACAGCTTTAAGTTTGCCTTAAACTTAAAGGTGCAGTAGGAGAACTTTTCTGATGCATTTTTTTACCATGTGGCTTTACCAGGATAGTAAAAGCGATCATGTTGCCGGCAGATTTCGGCATTTTAAGTTAATTTAGGCGTTAATAAACAGTTTTAGAGGAGTGATCATAGCGCTCTGCATCATCAGCACTGCCTGTCTCCCTGCCAGCAGCTGCTCCTGCTGCTCTTGACGCGATGCAGACAGCATGCTTGTCCATGTGTTTTGAAGGCGTGGTTTCGAGGGTTTTGAAGGGAGAGGCATGGTTGTGTATTTTCAAAAATATAGCTTGCTGGAACAGTTTTCTGAGATTGCCTACTGCACCTTTAAGCTGTATTAGGACACTTGCATAGCCTGTTTTAAACTATTTTATATACAGTATGATGTAGTATGTGTGCAAAGGGATATGCAGTGTTGTTTTCTGCACCACATGACAATTTGCATTTAAGCATGTGGCTGCTGTAATCAATGCTTTCCTTAGCCTGCTGTCACTTAGGCTGAATGGCCATTGCATGCTAGGTTTGCAGTTGTGCTATACTCTGTTCTCTCTCGGGTTATGTATTGGACAGTGCTCTTTGAGATGTCCAAAAATTTAAACATGGTTTTCTGATGTATATGAACATATGTTGAGACTAAGCTGCACAAGTGGACATCATTTACATTTCAGGATACTGAAGCCAATTTTTTTGATGGAAATAATGAAGGGCTTCAGACTTATGGGAGATTAATATAACAATAAGAACAATCTTTGAAAACAATGGGCCTCAATCCATCTTCAAACCTTCTTACGAGTGATTTAAGAGAAAATGTCACATTCACCATTTTTCCCCTCTTTCTAATCTTCTCTCAGGTATGAACAAATTTTATGAGAGATCCAGACTTGATATATGATTCTTGCACAATCATTCAGCTGTTATTTAAACCAATTTTATTTACTAAATGACTACATTTGTTGTTACTTAGAAGTAATTGGCCAATTTATTGGGCTAAATCAATATACAGCGGGTCACATAAATATTAAGCAAGCCACCATTTTTCTCATTAAATATATTTCTATAGGTGCTATTGAGATGACTAGGTGAAGGACTACATTATGAAAAGGTCGCCAGGGAATACTTAATATAACAACTCTTGCTAGATGTCTGCATCTATCAATTTGGTTATATTTAAATATTTACACTGCTATGTTAAATACATTAGAGAGCAGCATCTTACCATGGGCCTGCCATCAGTCCAGCGGAAGTCATTGGGGTACATCTTATCATTCAGGCCAACCCACTGGTAGTCATGTCCAAGACCTGAAATCAAGGACAGAAAAAAACAGCTGATTACATTTCTAATCTATCTTCTCCTTATATTCAGACTTTGTATCAATAACATTTAAAAAAGAAAATAGATATCACAGGCATTTTTACTGTCTTTATCATTTTCCTGAACATTCTGTCCTCTAACTGTTTTGATTGTTTTGCTCCAAATAATTTTTTTCACTTTTGTTATGAACAAAAGCTATCATAATAAAGCAAAGCATGTTTATTTAATTTCTGAAATAATGTATAAAAAGGGTCTTCAGCTTACGGTTTACAAACTGTTGCTCTTCATGAGAAAGGATGCTAGTTAAATGAGCTCCATGTATGCGGCACTCTCGCTCTGCAGAGTCCCAGCTCTTCCTCTGTGGGAAGAACTTGTAGCAATGGCCCTGAAACTTGTGCCAACCATAGTCACATGTTTCAGTATCTGAAAGACAAAAAAAAAAAAAAAAAAGACTTAAGTTTCAGGAAAACAAAAACAAAGATTGAGTTTGAGTTTAGCCTTTTTATACCACGGTATGCCACAATGATATTGTTAGGATCTGGGGCTTTGCCCACCAGAGGGGGACATGGATCCATGCCTGGGGAGCTTGGGCTCAGCATGGACAGCTGTTTTCCATCTGCTGATTAAAGAAGCTCTCCCTATATAAGCTGAGTGAGAGCTCCCCTCTGAGCCGGATTGTTGTGTTTCCTGTGCCACCATGCCTGTCTGAATCTGCAAACCTGTAAGTCTGTCAACCGGTTCCAATAAAATACTGGACTTTTCCCTGCCTCTCTGTCTGTGAGTTCTGCATCTGGGCTAGAAAACCTGCGCATCATGACAGATATTCTGTAGGACTCAGGGTCAGACATACTGTAGGTAGAGTACCCACAAATTCCACTAAAGTAGGAGTAATACTACTTCATCATATTCGTACTCATGCAAGAGTAAAAAGAAGCCAACCAAGAAATTACTCAAGTAAGAATAAAAAGTATTTAAAAAAAAGACTACTTAAGAACTGAGTAACTAGTCATAACAACTATCATTTCAAGAAAGACCATAATACAATGTTATGTGAAAATTCTGGTATTTTAACACTATATTTGAGTAATAAAGATTTCTTTTTTAATTGTTGAAAATTAACAGTTCCAGGCAGAAGAAACACTTTTACAAACCAATTTTCTTTTTAACATAAACCACCACCTTAAGTGGCAATATCTAGTTCTTACTTTATATCAGCTTTACCTCCATATGCCATGCTAAGTTTAAGTAAGGAAAACTTACTTAAACTTAAAGAAGAAGCGTATACATTACTCAGTAAATTTAGTCAAGATGGATGGAGCAGCCAAACATTTTACTCAAATAAGAGGGTGATTTCAATCAGATTTTAAATGTTATGTTTAAAGTGGATTATGAGTGGAACTTAATTATAACTATCAGGATTTGGATAATTTAAGTCCCAAATATTTTGACAGGACTTTTGCATAAAACTATTTATCTCAACCTGGTTCTTGTAAAGATAGAAACAACTCTTAGAAACAACAGATACAATCAGCAGTAATAAAAGACTACTGTGTTGTATTTCCATGAGCTAGTTTCTTCCCTTTTACAATTGGCAATCTCCATACAGCCATGTCTAGGTACATAATATGGGTGGGAATCCCAAAAGAGTTATCATGACAACATTTAGGGCGTAAGCTAGTTAAAATATTTCAGTGGTAAATGGTTTGTTTTCCTTTGCATAACACGTGCTGTAAAGATTTAGATGGAAACCCAACTAACACCCTGGGATTTTACAAAAAAATTTAGTCAAATTCTCCAATATTAATACATCAGGGTGCGACTAGGTCCAGCAGCCCCAAAAGGAACCAGATTTCTGAAAAATCCCAGATTTTGCTGTCTAAATTTGCTAAGTCAGAAATAATCATGCAAAGAGCCTGAGAGGTTAATTATGTAAAGAGCTTCTAAAAACGGACTTCAAAATCTGTAAAAAAAATCTTATCATTTATAGTTAAAATTATATTGACTGCAATGAATTGGTAGATAACAGGAGACAAGGACCTTGTTTAAAGAGGAAAGTCTTAAAAATCATATCTCCTGAAGACCTATCAAAGAATGGCGAAAATTCCTGTTACGAATCTAATCAGGGGAGGAGAACTTAATATTGTTCAATATCACATGGTCTGGTCTTTATGACGCCAGGATTTGTAATCTTAGGGGAATGGAAACACACTTATCAAGTTTGGGTTGATTATCAAATACATTAAGGACAAAGCATCGTAATTGCCACAAAGAAAAAGTGGAGGCAAAGAACACATTGCGAGACCATAAATGTAAACCTTTGACTTACAGACACAATTGAAACATGATGTCTACAAGTCATATGCACTGTATAAGAAATGTTCCTTCATTCCTCTGACTTAGTCCATCTCTTTCATTCACTGGGTACTCTTTAAGTTAATAAATAACACCACTGTTAACTTGGAAGTAAATTGGCCACAAATCAAAAATTGAGGGGATTAAGTCAAATTGAAGTCAAATGTGTTTACGTTTATGATTATGCATTTATCAGACCCTTTTATCCAAAGTGACTCAAAGTAGACACAATGTTACAGTTATCATCAATATGACAATAAGTGGTTTAAAACAGACCAAACTGTTCTGTTATCAAAAATGAAAATACATAGAACAGTGATTTATTATTATTATTTTGATGCAATAGTCACAGTCCAGATACTTGTGTAAACATCTATATTTGGCTCTATTTGAGAAAAAATATCTACCACTAGATGGGTTTTTATTGTTATTTCTGTTGATTTAAGATTCATAATCACAGCTGTTAACAAGCCTAAGTCAAAACAGTTCACTAGACTTGTGAAGAAAATTAAAAAGATAGATCACATTTCTTCTATCCCTTTGTTGGGTTCCCTGTTAAATCTGGAACATAATTTCATAAACTTCCTTTTGAAGTACAAAGCCCTAAATAACCAAACCTCATTTTATACCGGAGATCTTGAGATCACTTTGTTCTCAATCTGCACGTTTACATTCGGTTCCTAGAATTTCAAAATTTAGAATGGGAGGCAGATATTTTAGTTATCAGGCTTTACTTCTGTGTAGCCAACTACCACTTTTAATAAGGCAGACACCCATGCTTTTACTTTTAAGGGTAGGCTTAAAACTTTCTTTTTTCATAAAACACTAAAATATGTGCACGTCTTGTGAAGGTGAAGAATGATGAAGCGTGTATGTATGGGGCACGGTGCGGGTCGGTTGTCTTCGTGGTGGGCAAAATATTCATGAGCATACCATAAAAGGAAGAAAAACTGTCATTTCATTCTAGGGGCTTATAACCAGGCTTGCATTAGGACTCATAGAACAGCAAATATTACATTATATTCCAACAACCAATGCTACACACCCTATTCAGAGACCTTAAGGACCAGCACCAAGTACCTTATATAATCATTCTATGACCCCTTTAACACCTAGTCAGCCTCGGTAGAAGGCCAATGCTTGGTGTGAGAGATTGCTATAGAGTCAATGACAAAATGTCAGCGAATATGTATCATTACCACATGGTCATGGCAACGAGTCAATGACTCAATGCAATCAGCTAGTTTTCTTCAACCTGTTCTTTACACAGAGGAGTTAAGTTTTTCATGTAGGCTAATATAAAAAAAAAAACCTTTAGGCAGCACTTTAAGGAGACAAAATTTATTGTAATTATATGATTAAATAATAGGCATGTAAATTGCTCAGGTAATGACTTAGAGAAATGTAAGACAACCCTAAGTTCATCATTGACTAGTGTTATATCTAGTATTAGAGTAAGTTTAATTCCCAAAATGTGACTGAGTATCTTGATTAGATACTGTGTTTCAATGAATCAACCCATCACTATTTTGACTTATGAAAACATAAGTCAAAATAGTTCTATGAATAATTGTGGAAAGTTTTCATTGTAATGAAATAAGTAAAAAAAAAAAAAAGCCTATACACAAAAAAGGAATTTTTATAACCGTACCTTCCTCACAGTAAAGCCCAGAGTAGCTTGGGAGACATACACATGTGAAGGAAGCCAGCCCGTCGACACATGTGCCTCCGTTACGGCATGGATTGGATTGGCACTCATCAATTTCTTACGGGAAAAGAAACAATACACAATTTAGGAGTCAATATTTCCAATTTATCTGACATAAAATATCTTGTAATAACAAATATACCTGTTTCACATTGATGACCAGTATAACCAGAGGAACAGCTACATGAATAGATGCTGCCTCTCTTGAAGCAAGACCCTCCATTTAGACAAACATTCTCTTCACATGAATAGATCCCTGTTAAAAAAATATCAACACTTAATTAAAGAAATCTGAACACAGAAAATGTTCTGAAAAAGGACAATGAATAAAATCTACCTGGAATTTCCACCGTCTCCCCAACAACAGTGTGGCCCAAATCAAGTCTTATTGGGGCAGAGGTGGTTGTTTCCTCTCCTTGTCTTGATGTTTCTCTTCCATTAAGTGATGACGTTGTTAGGGATGTTGATATTTCACTGTACTGTTTTCCATCTTCTACAGAGAAGGATGATGAATCTGTTGCTAAAGATGTAAATAACTCTGCCTGATTGTGGGCTTGTGTTGTCGTGAATTCTTCATGGATTATTGGGGTAGATTCAGTAACAACTCTACTGCTGCCAATGATAGTTTCTCCTAAGGAGCTTTCAAGATAATCTGTAGTTGTAGCGTCAACCTTAAATACAGTCTGAATTTCTTCTGGGAACAAGGTTTGCTCTTTATATCTGGAAGTCTGTGGTGCCTTTGGGATTTTGAGGTCTACTGATACACTGTCAGAGCTGGATGGCTTGGTTTCATTTTCTTTAACTGTGCTCAAGTCAGACAAAAAATTATTTGTGGTTAGTTGCAGCTCGGGCGTAATGTCGTCAGACTTATTCCTATCAACATTTTTGGAAATTTCTATCATGCTCAACTTGGAACCGTTGAAGCTAACAGGACTGCCTTCAGTGGTAGAGACTGAGACAACATCAACTGGAAATGTTGCCACTGCTTTGTGAGCTTCTGACACCACCGAGGGTATCGTGTTTTCTCTTTCAGTGATGCCCATTACTGATTGGGAAGGCTCACTTGGAGATGCTTTGAAACTATTTTTGGGCTGTTGGGTTTCATTATACTGAGGTTCGGATTCGAGAAAGATGGGGTTTTCTTCATCATAGTCCGGGGTTGGATAATCAAAGACACTGTCAAGGGTGTCAAGGGGAGATAGTGATTTTTCAACAGTTGCATCAAGAGATAGCTTTGGCAGAATTGTAAAATGACTTTCCAAACCAGAACCAGCCTGATTCCCTAAATAATTAACAGGATGTAAAGTGGTTGATCCTGCAACCTGACTTGTAGACATGGGGTGAATTGTTGATTCAGAAAAATTTTCAGTGGACTGGTCTGGTTGGGGGAGATCTAAATTTATGACCTTTTCTTCTCCTAAATCAACTTTGTGTATCATTGTAATTGCCATGTCACCTCCTGCTTCCTCTGTGCGGATAGTTGGGTATAATGAAGGGGAGGGAACTATAGAGATAGTATCAACATTAATCATTATATCATCCTTTGTAAATAGTTTTGGGCTGGGAATTTCCTGGCTCAAACTACCTGTAGCTACAGAAAGTGAATCATTAACATTTTTTACATTCTCCGTGGATGTGCTGCCTGATGGTTCAGATTGATGCAAAAATATTGATGTTTGTTCATCAAGCTTTCTCTCTGCTTGGTTGTAAGTTGGAGAAACAATCACAACCTTGGTGTCACTGCTAGAGCTTGCAATATTGTGAACTGTCATGTGATCACTTATAGCAGACTGTACACTATAAGATGATTGTGTTGTTTGCTCTTCTAAAACTGCAACTTTGTCATTGGACACTGACATTAAAGAATCTGAGTTAACAGTATTGGTCATAGAAAAGTCAATTGGCTTCTGAGTCACCGTGGCGGAAGATGTCATTAACTCCAAAGCAAAGATTGAGGGGGGGAGAGTAAATGCAAATGAACCTGTAGCATCTTTGTCAGTGTTGTTGGGATGTTTTGTATTGAAAGTTGCTTTGGGTTTCATAACAGAGCTTGCAACTGGTTCAAATGATGTGATGGCACCTGTACTATCTTCATCAATAGAAGAATAATCTCCATTCCTACGGTCAGCAAAGTAAGTCTCTCTGTTTGTCATATGGGGAGCTTGGGTTGGGGACAATAATTCAGGATGTGTACCAGTATGCGTTGTAGGCATTTCACTCTCAGTGTCAGCTGTTTCAGCTTCATCTGTCATAACAAAAATGTTTTGAGATTTGGTGGTAAGTTCTGTAGAATTTCCATCGGATGGGCTTGTTGTAAATGATGCATGGCCAGACAATTCAACAGAAGATCGCACAAGCACTGGTTGGATTTTCAAGTCATCTGTGTCCCCAGAAGCTTCATCACCTGAATTTTCTTCTTCATTAGAATCCTCATCATCTAACTGGGTATCTGTCACCTCTTCCCTGGTGGAAGAAACGAAAGGAGCAGGATCCAATGACTGTGTCAACTGGTTTGAAATATTTTTATCATGAGGGGGTGTTATATAACTATCAAGTTTTGTTGGTTCTCCTGCGGTAAAAAGAACATTTTCATAATCTGTCACTGGTAGGTTTGTTGTACTCTCTGTGCTAAACAGTGATGAGTGTGTAGCAGACGCAATGCGTATGCTAGTTATTCCACTTAGGTTTTTACTTGTACTCTCTTGGTTGTTTATTGTAGATGCTGAACGTTCCTGTGGCCTTGCAGACATGTCATCGAACTGTGAAGAACTCTCTGCTCTAGCAGAAACTGAAGGTCTACTTGTTTGACCTGTTTGAATAAGTTCTTCGTCCACCACTGGTAGATTTGTTTTTTTCTCTGTGCTGAACAGTGGGGACCCTGTAGGAGAGGCAATGTTTATTCTAGAGGTTCCAATTGGGGTTTCACTTGTAGTCGCTGGGTTTGTTAGTGGAGATGCTGAACTTTCCTCCAGCTCTGCAGAGATTTCGTCAGGCTTCAAAGTTGAAAATGTCTGGTGGGTTTCAGGGGACACAGATTTTGGTTTCTCTGTACTGTATAGTGTTGAAGCTGAGGTAACAGCTGTTCTTGAAGTATCAGTTTTTTCAGCTCTTCTTGATTCTGGGGTCGATGATGATAGAATATGAAAAGCTGAGGAGCCGGTCGTTCCTTTAGTGACAGAAGTTTCACTAGACTTTGTCATGTTTTCAACAGCAATATATTCATCTGTGTTGGTAAAGCTTGATGCTGCTTGGGTAGATATTGTTGCTGTGCCTGTGTCAAAACTAGACAGAGTTGAAGATGTATCAATAACTGTAACCGTTGATATAAACTGGTCAGTATTTGTTAATCCAGAACCATCCACATCTTCTACAGTAGTTACAGGAACTTTCTCTGTCTTCGCAGTAATGGGGGATA